AAAAAATTTGCTGATAATTAGAAAGAAATTCTTTAAAATACTCCAAGGGGTTTATAAATTAATTTTCGAAAGATTTCTTTTGTTTTGAATAGAGTTAAAAGAAATGTTTGAAAAGATTTTTAAAGGAATCAAAGTTTCTGGATAGGCGGGAACGGGAATTATATGAAGGATTCCAATAAATTTTTAGAAGGAGTTGGAAGAAAATTCCTAAAAGAATTCAACGGTAATTATTACGCGGAGTGTTTTCTGGTTTATTTCAGAACAATTTCAAGATAATTCAGAGCAGAATTCCAAGTTAATTCTGGAATTCATCATGAGAATTTTGAACAACGAAAAATTAAAACCCCGGAAAAGAATAATTCTGTTTCGGTTTTTACAAATATTTGTTTCCAAACTCCAGCATCTTCAATATTTTCTTTAGAGGACCATGCACTTTACATCTGAAATTGAAACGACAAAAATCAATTTGCAATATTGCTGAGTGATTAAATTCTAAAAACAATAAGACGGTATACTGAAGAAAATTATGCAACAAATAGAGCAAGACATTCATTTGCTAAAGGATCACTCTTTTAATGGTTTATTCTGAAATTCTGATGTAACAATTTGTTCCTATGATATGGTTAATTTATTTTCCCGGTTCTCTTGCAGAATTCACGGGTTTTTCCCGGTTTTCCCGGTTACTTTCCAAATTCCCGGATATTTCCCGGTATTCCCGGATTTCCCGGTTTGCTGGCCACCCTGAATCAATCAAAACCACTTGCACCCCTGCTTCCAAGTTTGTGTGGTCGTTGGGGGCTTGTGGTTCTGAATATGGACAAACAAGCATAGATAAATTCTATTCCAACTCTTTACTGATGTAAGCTTGATGGCCCTGAAAAGGGCCGTTTTATTGAAGAGGACATCCATGGCCACTTACGCTTGGCGTGTTTAGTGTAGGTGACAGCATCACGGACCTCATTTTCCACGAACACCTTCAGCACACCTCGTAGATCAGACCGGAGATACGTCAGACACTGCGACGGCGAGCCAGACGACGTATGGTGGTTATCTCGAAGAATTTGCGATGACGATTGGCACCTCCTTTGCCACGACCTACTGCTACTATTGCTCACCACGCCGTCCGAAGCGAAAATGAGCTGATACTAGACAGCAGCGCTGCTTTATATCTTTTCAGGTTAAAGCAGAATGATGTGCAACCAAGTGGTATAAAAGCTAAAAAGACTCCTCCCATTATAAGTAGTTTGCTATCAAGTAGCGACACTGGCTATTTTCTTTTTACGTACACGGCGAATGAGAACGACCCAAATTTGAGTTTAGTTCACTCATAATCGCCAAAAGTGCAGGAACTCAGCGTTGAGAAAATTTGTCTCATGGTTTCCTGTGGAAAAGCTAAAAAATCTGCCAGAAAATGAGGAAATTTACGAAAATTTTATTCAGTCTCGGAGTAGTACCAATAGCCTGAGTGAATCCAATCTTTACTTTTCTCAAATTCGGGAATTTTTCCCTGGAAAATCCTGGAAAAACCTGGGAAAACATGAGGCAAATTTACTCATCGCTGAGTTCCTGCACTTTATTTCTTATTTCTGAGATAACTAAACTCTAATTTGGGTCTTTCTCATTCGCCGTGATATCACCTTGAAAGATATCGGCGCCGGTGGTTAGCGTGATTACCTCTCACCCCAGCAGGCCTGGGTCCAATCTCAGTCGGCACCTCCAGCATGTTCTAAGGATTGGTAGGGTCCAGGTGTGGGAGCTGCCTCCCTGGCGTCGGTAGCATTGGAGCTCAGTACGGAAAACAAATCTCGCGTCACTTTTCAATAGGTCCTATCTACATTGATCGATTCTCTTCATCGACACTCTCTTTCGTAAATAACTCGGCTTCACAAATGTTTCCTGCCGTCTTCGTCGAATTAGATGCTAGATTGTTGCTTCTTCCATCGAAAATATCCGGCTGTGGCGATTCAAAGTTGATCAAAATAATTTGTACCCCTGCTTCCAGTTTGATTACATGAGCATTCTGTGTGATCGTTGGTTCTGAATATGGACAAACAGGCAGATGAATTCTATTCCTACTCTTTTCCTCCCTACCCAAATATAACTCAGTTTTCTCAACAATTGTTCGTGCTTCAAAAAATTTAACTAGGCGTATGTATTCAGGAAGGAGCCAAAATCCATCTTGGCTGAACATAAAAACCAAATTTTAACAAAAATACGTAGTTTTGTCAATTTAAAACTGGCTTTGTATGTGCTTAAAAAAATAATCATCACATATGAATTCAACAAGGTCAATTCTATAAAATCTAAGCATAACTTTCAAAGGACAGTATCAAAATCCAACTTAGCATAAAAGGAAAACAAAAAAAAACCTTTACGAATTACAAACCCGGTTCAACCATCGCGTATGGAATCAGCAAGGTCCATTCTAAAAAATACAAGCCTATTTTTCAAAGAGATGAGCCAAAATGCAATTTGGCAGAACCGAAAAACCAAATTTCTCTGAAAATACATATGGATTCTGCAATTCGGTAAAATCCACTCCGAAATTCAAATTCAACTTGGCTAAACAAGAAACCAAATTTCTATAAAAATACGTACTTTTGAGAATTCAAACCCAGTTTTCTAAAACATTGTGCATGCTTCAAAAAAATTACCATCACGTATTGATTCAGCAAAGTTTGTTCTATAAAATTCAAGTCTTTTTTCAAGGATCGGAGCCGAAATTCAACTTGGCAGAACAGAAAATCAAAGTTTTTGTGAAAGTACGTACTTTCGTGAATTTAAACTCGGTATTCTCAAAACTTGAAGAAATTCAACCCTCACGTATGGATTCAGCAACATCTATTAAAATACAAGCTTATTTTTCAAAGATAGAAGCCAAAATTCAATTCGGCAAAACAGAAAAATTAATTTTCAATGAAAATACCTTCTTTTGTGAATATTAACCAGGTGCGTCCTTCCGGTATTCAGCAAGTTCCATTTTATAAAATCCATGCACAAATTTCAAAAGATTGCACCGAAATCCAACCTGGCTTCAAAAAAATTCACCATCACGTATGAACTCACAAAGGTCTATTCTATAACATCCAAGCCTGTTTTTCAAAGGAAGGAGCCAAAATCCAACTTGGCTGATCAAATCTAAATTTCTATAGAAATACGTACTTTTTTTGAATGTAAACCCAGTTTTCTCCACAATTGTGCTTACTTAAAACAATGTACCATCAGGTATGAACACACGAAAGTCCATTCTTTAAAATCTCAGCCTAATTTTCAAAGGATGTGAATCTCACAAGAACGAGGAAGGGATCTAAGCGAGTGGATTCTACGTTAAAAGTTAGGTAAATCACTTCAGGAAAGCTCAGACTAACATTCAATATAATTCAATCACTCAACAGAAAAGTTTGGACTCCCTTAGGAAGGTTTTGAACCACTTCAGAAAAGGTTGGACACCATTTGGAAAATTTAAGCTCAAAAAATTGTCGGTTCACTTCAGAAAACTTTCTACACTTTCACTAAGCAAGAGTGTGTTCTTTCCAAATGCCAAAGAAGTTAACAAAAATCTGGAGTGGAGTTAAGAAAATGTCAAACCCGCTCTGACAAGTTTGGTTTCAGTTAGGAAAAAGTTGAATCAATGCAGGAAACCTTGGATTCATTTAGGAAAAGGATTAATCAGCTTATGTTGCCTAACTTCAGAAAAAGCAAAACTAATTATTTAAAGCTTGGATTCGATATATGTTGAATCACTTCAGGAAAGCTTTGACAACGTAAAAAAGGATTGAATAACATAACAGAAAAGTTTAGGCTCAGTTAGAAAAATATTGATGACTTATTCGAAAGTTTGAACTCACTTCAAAAAAGTTCAGACTCAGTTTTGAATCTGCTTTGAAAAGTGTCACCTCAGTTAGGAATTTCCTGAATCGTTTTTGATTTGGTCTCACTTCTAAAAAATTTAAACCAATTTTGAATACATTGGATTTACCTCGGAAATTGTTGAATTACTGTAGAAAAAAAGTGAATCATTAAGGATCATTGCAGAAGGTTTGTAAGTTAAGAAATTTAGATCGAATGCAATAATCTGGCGATTACGGTGGGCTGGGCATATTGTAATAATGACGGATAACGACCCAATGAAAATTGTTCTTGGTAGTGATCCGACTAGAACAAGACGAAGATGTGCGCAACGAACAAGAGGGATCGATCAGATTGAAGGCGGCTTACCTAGTGAGTTGCCAAACAAGATTAGGAATGATGTTCGATGAAATCCGTTTTCAACAACTGAAACCGGCTGATCCGATTACAAAGACCAATTTATGTGAAAATTCTTTAAAAGAACAAGGTGATACAACAACAACAAGAACATAATAAAATCTAGCAAAGCGAGTATCCATACCCAAATGAATTTGCGAAAAATAAATATACGCTAAAAGTTTTATTTTATTTCCCCCTTGATGATATTCCAAAATTTTTAAAGGGGGGGGGGGTGACAAAAGAAAAACTTGATATTTTTCCGGCCTAATACTTTCTCCATTACGAGTATTTGCGGAAGGTTATTATCGTTCTATAAATACAGGAATTTTAGAACGATTCAAGTGCATCTCATTTCATCATTCTCTGCTTGAACGTCAAGCAATACAGTTCGGTCTTTGCTCGCTCTGTCGAGATGTTCGATAAACTTATAGTTTGTTACAATCGTTCGCAGATATACTGCACGTCGCGTCGTCAGTAGTGTCGGTCGCATCGCGTGATGGGAAGACAGCGCTCCCGGAGCAGACTTCGTGACCAAGCGGAGAAGAAGAACAGTGGTGCGGGTAGCTCGGTACCTACATCAAATAGGTACGCTACTCTTCCCATAGATGTTGTGAATACCAACCCAGTCCCGGTGAAGCGGACGAAAAAGAGGAAGAAGAATCAAGGACAGTCCGATGGTACGAGCGGACGCGACGATGCTACCGCGACGAACGTTAGCGACATCGGTGATTTCGGCGACGCCGTCGAAACAGAGAATTCTGCCGGCTCGAGTGCGGCGAAAGTCAAGCTTCCTCCACTGGTGGTGAAGCAAGTACCATTCAACACGCTGATTAGCGATCTCTCGTCGCTGGACGTTGCAGCTGAGTTTAAGCTCGGCAGGATCGGCACCAAGGTGATGCTCCGTACGAAAGCGGAGTACGAGGTGGCCGTTAAATATCTGAAGGATTCCAAGGCGACATTCTTCACGCACGACATCCCAAGTGAGAAGCCCTTCAAGGTAGTCATCAGGGGTCTACCAAACTTCGACCCCAAGATGATCGAAGCTGAAATCAAGATGCGGTCATCGTCAAGAAAGGAATAAAATACCACACTCTGTCCCATATCCGCACCTCTATCATCGAGGCCCTTGGTGTGGAGGTGGAGTCGTCGACTGGATACGTACAGTTCATCGCCGTCTACTGCCCTCGACAGTGTGCCGCCAGCAGTGGACTAGCGTCTAAATTCAAGAAGGACCTGTCCACCATCACCCGTATCGGTTCCCGCTTTGTAGTTGGAGGAGATCTAAACGCTCGCCATGAGGCCTGGCGGAACTACCAACAGAACCAGAACGGTCGTCTGCTGTTCGACCACTTACAGCATGGGCTGTACTCCGTTTGGTTTTCGGCTGAACCAACATTTATCTCACCGGCGGGCAACCCATCGACGCAAGACCTGTTCCTGACAAATATCGGCTTGTCCAAGCCGGTAGCCTTGAACGAACTCAGCTCCGACCACCAACCGGTGGTGGCTGAACTGGGCTGCAACGTGGCTCCTGCTTCAAGCCTGCGCAAGGACTACCATCGCGTAAACTGGGCCCAGTTTGGACGCGTGGTAGACAGGCACATCATCGACAACCCGCCGCTTGACACCGTGGAGGATATCGACCGAGCGTTGGAGGGACTCCACCAAGCCATAACCGTGGCTGACGAGGCGTGCGTCCGACGAGTTCCTGTGAGGGGTAAGTTTATTGCCATTGATTCCCACACCCAACTCTTGATTCGCCTGAGAAATGTTCGTAGACGCCAGTTTCAGATGACTGGAGATCTGGTCAAAAAACGTGAAATGGCCGATCTGAACAGGCAGATTGCTTCCAGAATGGACTCACTACGAAATGAAAGTTTCGGGCGTGTTGTCCAGAATCTGGACGACCGCTCCAGACCATTCTGGAAGGTAGCCAAGGTCCTGAAAACTCATCCCAAACCCGTTCCTCCTCTCAGAGTCGAAAATGATGACGATCGGCATTTAATCACCCCACAGGAGAAAGCAAATGCGATCGGCGAGCATGTCGCTTCATCGCATTTGCTTGGCTCGAATATTCAAAGTCCGCTCGAAGATCAGGTTGCGTAATGCTTTCAAAACCTAAATGCCTCCCCTTGTGTCGTGCCTCTGGAGGATATGATTACAGTACAACAAATTTGCTCAGCGCTGAAATGCACCAAGAACATGAAGGCTCCCGGGTTTGACGGTATATTCAACTTGATCTTGAAGAGACTCAGCATGAAAGTGCAGTCTCTTCTAACCGCTATCTTCAACAGATGTTTGGAACTGCACTACTTTCCAAGCATCTGGAAAGTAGCAAAAATCATACCAATCCGCAAACCCGGTAAGGATTCAACATTGTCTTCAAGCTACAGACCAATCAGCCTCCTTTCAGCGCTGAGCAAATTGTTCGAGAAACTCATTCTCAATCGTTTGCTCAAGTTTGTCTAGGAAAATAACATTCTCTTTCCGGAACAGTTTGGATTCAGAAAGGGGCACTCCACCAATCACCAAGCTAGTACGGGTGATGAATAACATCCGAAGTAACAAAGCTGTATCCAAGTCCACAGCCATGGCCTTGTTAGACGTTGAACAGGCGTTTGACAATGTTTGGCATGACGGACTTGTGTACTAGCTTTGTAACTACAACTTCCCATTACATCTGGTTAAAATCAATCGTAACTACCTTTTAGCAAAGGTCGTTTAAGGTATCGTTGAATGGTTGTCTTTCAGAAACGTTTTCCATCCCAGCAGGTGTTCCGCCAGACAGTCTGCTGGGCCCCTTGCTTTACAGCATTTACACTTCCGACATTCGTCCCCTCGGAGACGATTGCGTGTTTTTCCTGTTCGCAGATGATACCGCAATAGACGACAATCAAAATCAATGCCTCCAAAACACAAGCGATCATGTTCTTCCATCGCTCAATCGCCCAAAGTGAAACCGGCTCCATCTTGTACTGTAATCATGGATGGCACAAGGGTTGAGTGGTCTGCCTCCTCTTCCGTTCGCATGTAGAGAAAACTGTAGTCAAGTGTTCTACCTTGGTTAGGTGTCTGTATCCGCTGATTTGCCGCAGATCCCGCCTCTCAAGGGTGAACAAACTGGCCGTCTACAAATAAACTATAGCACCTGCGATCCTCTACGCAGCTTCGGTGTGGGAATCATGTGCACAAACTTGCAGGAATAAAATCCAGGTCGCTCAGAATAAAATTCTGAGGATGGTTCTTGATCGTCCTTTCGACACTAGAATAACAAATTTACACGAAGAGGCAGGCATTGCCAAAATAGATTCCAGGATAAACGAAATTAAGACTAAATTTGAACAAAAATATATTTTATCAGAACATGCTTTGATAAGCAATTTGTATATAGTAGATTAGGTGTATATAGTAGTTGTAGGTTAGTTGTAGTTGTAAATAGTAGTTATAAGTAGTCTCCTTTTTCAAATTTAAAACAAACCAATCCCACCAAGGTGGTCATTCTCTAAAAAAGGCCTGATAGGACTAGGAACTGTAACTAATAATAATTGAAATTCAAAAGAACTCAAGTTGAAAAGACGCATCTGTGTCACATGATAAGTTATACATGTAAGCTACACAAATTCAAGAAATAAAGATCAAATGTCAGCTTCCTCAAAACATACAAATATTAAATTGCTACTCTCTGTTTGTAGTAGCACAGCAATTTAAAATTTGTGTATCAAGAGTATCAGCTTAAAGTAAAAAAAGTCACGATTTAAGTGCATAAAAAGTAGACAAATTTAGCAAAACCGATTATGATTATCGTTTTTTTTTTGGGAATAAAACTCAGAGGATTTTTCCAATGAATTCATATCTCATTTAGTGATACAATAAAAGTATTCGTATTTGGAATTCTTCTGAAAATTCAGTTTCTGGAAGGTTTTTCCAATAAAAACGCTTATCGAGTGGCATCAAGGGACATAGTTTTCGAATAATTACATCTTTTCGAGTTGGCTCAATTTATCTGCTACCTTCGCGATACTTTAAAGTTGAATTCAAATCAAAACAATGGTTTTGAACTTGATTCAACTGTTGTTTGGTGAATATCGAGCAATGCTGCTGAAAATTCGTGTCGATAGTAAAATTGGAGAAATCCTTTCATACATTTTACTGCCTTTAAAATTCCAAGCTTCGGTCTGTCTTTCAGTTTGTTTATAACCCATGGATTAAAATGAAATGATGGTTCGAAGAAATCCGTATGTTCCATAGTTGATACAATTGGCCTCGGTTCAATTGTTGCTTGCTTGACACATTCCACGAAATCGCCATATGTGTGAATTGACGCATTCTTTTCTCCACTGCAGCATGGAAACTATATTCTGACATGAAACTGTGGCCACTTACCAAACGTGATTTTGTCAGCCGATATCAACGATGAATTTATAAGGAGAATCATATGCATCATTAGGTTCCAGTTTTTGTTCTGACTTGAACAGTTGCCAAGCAAGTAAAGGGCATTATTTTGAGTTCTGTTTTCAATGAGATGCTGAGTGAGAGAACTAATAATGTCACAAGCTTTCCGTCCGCTGATTGTTTTGTGCCATACTAACGTTTTCATTTAAAAAAATGGACAAAAATTGTCGATTTTTCATGGGTTTAACTTCACTCGCACTGACGAAAGTACCCATGCAGCATCAATCATAGTAACCTATGAGTCAGCAGACAAAATTTGACAGCTCTATCAGTCGAACTCTAACCGTGATGGCAAAAACAGTGAAGCAACTCCGTTCATAAGTGTGCGCGTTCAAAGAACGGCACCCCGCCGCGTCGAAAACGGACATCGTATGGCACTTTGTGGATGCCGGATGCGCCCGTTTCGGCATCTACAACATCTTGGCACTATTAGACAACAATCAGAGCATCGAAAGAATGCTCGGTTCCGGACGGCCGATGACCCTGAGCGACAAGAAGCTCCAAAGGATGTTGAAGAGGAAGACCGAGGGAAAAGTGGCTACATCGCTGCGTGCGCTTGGCCGGGAGGTCGGTGCAACCGGCCAAACAGTGAAAAAGTACCTGGCGAACATGAACATACATGTCAGGAAGCGGAAGTCACGTCCACTGGTTTCGGAGCTGCAGGCAATGATGCAGCGGCAGCGGCTGAATAAGATGGTCAACTCGTTTTTCCCGGCGAATCGCGACGTGGCGGTGGTGATGGACGACGAGACCTATCTCACCCTGGATGGCAACGACTGGCAGGGCACTTCATATTTTACTTCCCCCACGAAAGAAGTGAGCTCCGAGATGAAGTTCATTTCACACACCAAGTTCCCCAAGCAGGTGCTGCTGTGGCTGACAATCAGCGAGAAGAGGATGTCAAAGCCGCTCTTCTGATAACCTTTGTATGGGTCCCCTCACATTGCTCAATCCGAGGCAATGAGAAGGCGGACTCTCTCGCAAAGGTGGGCGCGCAGGAAGGTGAACTTTATGACAGGCAAATTTCACATGATGAATGTTACCATTTAGTGCGTCAGAGTACCCTTTCGAGTTGGCAAACCGATTGGGACACTGGAAATCTTGGACGGTGGTTACATTCAATTATTTCTAATGTTTCTTCGAGAGCGTGGTTTAAAGGCTTGGACTTAAGTCGTGACTTCATTCGCGTGATGAGTAGACTTATGTCCAACCACTACTCGCTAGATGCTCATCTCAATAGAATAAACTTCGTCGACAGCAACATCTGTCGGTGTGGAAACGGTTACGATGACATCGATCACGGAGTTTGGCAATGTACGGATAATTACGCCGCCAGAGAGCGACTTTTGAATACCCTTGAGGCCCAAGGGAGACAACCCTATGTTCCTATCAGAGACGTGTAAGGGAACTCGCGATATCTGCTATATGCAGTCGGTTTATGTGTTTCTTCAAATGTCTAGTATAAGAATTTAATTCCTTTGTCTTTTGTCTCTCTTTATTAGTTTTTGTTTGTCTTGTCCCCCCGTCTCGATGAGTCTCATCGTCGCCCACTGGTCACCATAGTCGGTCAAACTCCAGACGAAACTAGAACCGCACTACCATTCATACTGGCGACAACGCTCTGATGAG